GCTTTCGCGTTCTTACTTGACGTCGCGTTGTCTTCACTAAATTCGCTTTATGACACCATGATGCAATACTTAGAAGACTGAAGCATAAGTCACAAAAGGTACTGTGTACTAGTGTGCTGCAAAACAAAACATGGACTTTCAACCTCGCTTTCTTTTCAGAAATGAGCCTTGGGAGGGAATGTGAAACATGGAGAGATTCCATTCAGCTTTAAAGTCTAATTTGCATGAATCTTTGATATTAGAGTATTTTCTCCAGTTGGTAACTGTTACGAGCTACACCTTTTTTTTAGAAAAAAAAAAGATAACGTCTTTTATAATTTCTTAGCGTAATTTTGGTAATAAAATTGCAGTGATTGCCAGAAAATTAAAGGCGGTGCAAATGTCTTAATTTTCCTTGATTTTTTTTAATGCTTTAGTGTATTCTAGTGTATTTTTGCTATCACTTCAATGTAAATGAGTTTATTTTCCTTGATATGGTCTGTTCGCAAAAGAGAGGCCACCCCGGTAAAAAAAAAAACTGTATGCTTAAGTTTACAAATATATATGTCCGTAACTCCGTTTGACGGCTCATAATTGAAATACAATCGTTTTGTCTGATATTCCGTTTTTGACTGACTGCTTTCCGACAGCGCGTTTAATAGAACCATGTGAGTTTCATCACGTTTCTGCTTTGCGAAGAAATTCAGGTTCCTCTCACTCCTTTTAAAGGCCAGACAAAAAGAAAAACAGTCCTAAAAAATCCTAAGAAATAAATAATAAAAGCTTTGCCATAGAGGTATCATTTGAATGGTAACAATGTAGTATTTTGTCGCCAGATAAAAAATTTGGAGTACAAATATCCTCGACATTAATGTTGTTCTAGGGCTAAAAGGCTTTAAACCTGAGGCTAAACTGTCATCACCGTTCATGCCTGGGAGAAGCGTGTCATCTGTTAAGACCAAGGGTGTGCTTCCCCCCGTTTGTCCCACACAGTCAAATCCACAGTGTCTAACGTACCGGTATACCCTAAATGTGCCAAGTCTCCCCCGGGAAACTGGCGTAAGCATTACTGATTTTTGTTTTCCAAAAACTATATTTCAACCCAAGTTTTACTCCAGGTCATTCCTGGTCATTGAGAACTTAACAGAATACGTTTACGCCACCAGTGCAAGTTATTGCCGTGCAAATGGGGTCAATTTTCTTTTCTGTTTTTTACAGGACTATTCTCTTGTTTGGGATGTTTAATAAGTAATCTGACAGATATTTCTTTTTGAGGTTATTGACATTGCGTGACTCATCGAATGCCGCAAAGCCGCAAACGAAAGGTATCGCTTACTTTAGCGAGCTTGTAAAAGTATGTTCACTCTTTAAGAAAAATGAATAAATTATCACACTCTTACCCTTAAGTCGTCTTGTGACCATTCCCCTCATGCTCAGTTCGCCCAAAACTACCTGCAACGAGAAAAAGAGCTTTTCTTTCCTGACCTCTGCTAAAGGCAATCTCTAGCTAGCTAAAGGTCAAACGTGCCGGATTAAACGTAAAAGCCCGATGTCCGAGATGAAAGTGAGGGTGCGAAGGCAGCGCACACAGGCAATAAACGCCATGTCCACGTACATGAAATGTTATTATCACTTGCTAATTCCGTCGGTTTGTCCAGTTGATACGGCTTGTTAATATGTACAGTGAACTTTTATACGTGCAATTTAACTTTTGCACTAGACAACATGAAATCCATGCATCACGGAAATTTTTGTAGCCAAGGGCCTGGTCCCTGGTCCTTACATCGTCATCCCGATCCAAATGTTCGCTCAATCTCCCAATCCCGATGGTTATTCTCGGGATCCCACATCCCGTCCACACTTTCAATTCCGAATTTCCCTCCCATTTTTCTTTAGAATCCCGTATCCCAGCCTTCACTGAAGGGATTTGCCTTAAGGATAAGGATAAGGATAACGCAAATCCGGGATCCCGAAAAACCCAGGTTTTTGGGGACCCTTATATGAGTCCAGTTGATCGGCCTGGCGTGGTTGTCCCAGGTTTGACTCGGCTCTGTTTCCATTGTGTTCATATTCACTGTTTATATGGTCTTCTTTGGAACCTTCAACCTTGAATTTTCATTTCTATTTTTTACATAGTTTGCATTAGACTGGAGTGCTCAATATCGAGAACCAGCCAATCCCCGTAAGCCAGACTGTAAACAAGACAATTTTGTTTTATACAGTAAATGCTCATTTTTGATGTACAACTATAACTTATGACCGAATTACACTTCATATTTTCCTAACCATTTGGTAAGAAGAGGAAGCCAGGAAACCAAAAGAACAGTATGTAAAGAGGAAAGCATACTGCTACCTCAAGACGTCGTTTTCCCTTTTTTACAGTTCCAACCTGCTGCCGTTTAAACGAAGGTCACTTTAAATTATCAATGGAAAGAATGGCCGTCGCAGAAGGGAAGTCCGTCAGTATTTTTCCCTCAAGTAGCTACTTCAAATAAAATATAGTATGCGTGGTTGGCGTTTCAAGGGGAAAGGAAATGTGGGCCGAATAACAGCGCGTGAGGAAGAGAGAAGGAGGAGGATGTTTCATTAACGTCCGTAGCGGCCGAACCAAGCCATACACCTTTTCCCACTTGTGACGTAGTCAAGTTTAAAGACGAAGAAAAGTTTAGCCCTTAACTAAGACCAAACAAAGACATCTTTTGAGTCATACCTAAATGAGAGTGACTTGGTCAAAACAGGCAACAGATACCCACCGAGATACCCACCTTGTTCGAGGAGAGGAAGCGAATACGCATGCCCGAACATTTTCAAACTGGACCTAGAAAGCACTGACAATTTTATCTTGTAAACAGTGTTTTCCGTACTTCTCCTTTTTTTGGGTAGTTTGTGACCAAAAAATGGCTCGAATAGCTTCAAGCCGTCTTTTTCGGTGACACGTTCAGGCGGAAATGGGTTAATATCTTAGAAAAAATAAAGGATGGTTTTGTTAGGGACTATAATTATTCATTAAGGACTTGTGGTATTGGTACCCTTTAGTTAAGAAGGAATCCATCACGAAATTGAGTAATTTTAATTTCCATTGGACAAAATCCTTGTACCAGAATAATTTAAAGCATATTGCATTCTTTTGTACACTTTTCAAGGGCTAAATAAGATATAATTAGTTAAACCAAAAGGATATACAACAGAGCCCTGTTTTACTTTTTTATAATCTCTTTTAGCCCAGTAATAATTGAACAATTAATTTTGCTTTACTCTGTTAATGTCTATTGTTAAAGTGTTTTTTTTTTCTGTAGTATTGTAAATGTAATTATTTAATATGATTATCAATAAATATTCTGAAAAGGAAAAAAAAAAGCATATACGCTTCTGCTTATACGTAATGACACCAAAATTTTTCATAGGAGCCTGAGAAAACAAAGTTCAAAAGCTATAAATTTAGCCAAGATGAGATCTTACCCATGATTTTAACTGTGTTTTCACAATTCCTGTGAAATATAAAATCAATTTTCAAGGGCTCCCATAAGAAATTGTCTTTGGTGTTATTACAGAAAACTAATTATATTTATAGGCCTTGATAAGATCAAAGTAACTCAATATCCTGATGGATTCCATCTCAATCTCCTCCTGTTACTGTACTTAATATTCACTTCCGTATAGAAATGAACGCTTCATACATAAAGGATTAAAGAACAGTACCGACACCGAGTAAAGTCCTCTTAAAGTTGTTAAAAGCATTGTGAGTATTACGGAAACCTGAGATTAATGTTGATGTTTCAATTCTCAGAATTGTCACGACCAACTGTTCTAATGTTTTCTGCGCTTCTTGAAGAGCTTTAATAGGGTTGATACTTGAGATAAATGCTTGCAAAGGATATTGACTTTGACGATTCAATAGATAGGACCTACTGGTTAATCCAACGGAGGATCCAGGAATAGTTCTTTGCTAATTAACATTTTTTTCAACGAAAGAACCTATTAGAATGGAGTAAATACGTGTAACGACGCAGGAGAAGGGAAGAAATATGATTAGCCGTGTTAGATAAATTATTTCAACCATGTACACATGTCGTGGGCCTCCAACTAAAAAATCCGCCCCAAGTTCATTGTGTACGAACTACTCCCAGGCACTTCAAATTAAGTGTGACATGGCTATTTCTTTCTATTAATATCATTTGCCCATCGTTTCAGTGAAATCGTGCTGTCTTTTTATCAGAGTTCTGATGTTGAGAATACATTTTCCGTTTCTTGCTCCAGCTCAAAGTGAAAGTGAAATAATTTGTCCTGGGGATAAAAGGTTGTATTACTTTTCTTCTTAGTTTAGAGATAAATCATAAATTAAACTCGTGGCCATAATCGTTCGGGTCGTCCCTTGCGCTCTTTTCCCCTCAAAAAGCGTTCACGCGAACGACACGATCATATTAAAGCACCTGTGATGTGACGTAGGAAGGTCTGCTTAATCACAATTGCGTGGATTGCCGAACGGATGTGTTTTTTACTCTCTTCAGAGCACGAGAGACTAAGAAGCAGGGAACGTAATGCCGGTTAGAGTGAGCGTCCTTTTGAGAAGTGCCAAAATGTAGCTCAGCCGCAATGAGTAAAAGATTCAAGCTGGGTTCTAAAATCAGCGATTGCTCTTGAATTGGTGGTCTATTTCTTATTTCCCAATGGTGTTCCTCTATTATCATCATTAACGATTAACTATGATTGCGATCATCTCGTAAACGAGAGGTAATTTCTTGCTTTTTCTATGGAATTGTACCCAATAACACTTTAAGTTGCCAAGTTCTTCTAACAGAATAAAAAGCTGGGGACGTTGAACCAGTAACCTTGACACTCAAAGAGAACCCTTCAAGTTAAGCTTTCTGATCCCCCTTTTCTAAGAGGCTACTTGAACAAAAAAAATGCCGCCGAACTTTCATTCCACAATGACCATTCTCCCTGCAGTAGCGTAGCGTATAAAAGTAATTTTGATAGATCAAAAATACTAAGTCGTCTTGTCTCAAGAAGACATAGAGAAGATGAAGTTCAGAGGAGTCGTCTTGTATCTGATTTTCCTGGTGAGTGTAACAACTGTCAGTAATAACTTCTCTTTTCCAAGACTTTCACTTCCGTGTACAAATATGTAGTTATGAAATACGGTCTAACATTTGAAGCTGTGGCTAAATCGTTTGGTGTGAGCATTCAAATGCCATTTTTCCTCTTCCTTACTGTTGCATGTTTCTTTAACCACGATTCATGCATTAGTTTGAGGTTTAAAAGTATGTTTTAGCGGTCATAAGTTCTAATTGCCGACACTGTTTAATACTTCTCCTTCTGGAGAAGGGACCGCATTTCTACGTACCTTTTTCCTACTTTTGTTTTTATTAAATTATAGATCAGGATTTCAATAAAACAAGTTTGAGCGAAGTAAATGTAATGATAAAAGGAAGAAGGAAAGAATTCTGTTTTAGCCAAAATTAAAGAGCTCCATAGAAAAGGAAGTTCTCAAAATTAAATTCCGTTGACTAACAAGCGAAAAGTAATTTTTAATAATGAATTAACGACCTTAATGGTAGGCCATACATATTGATGTGGAAAATACGTTGTTTTTTTTTTTAATCCCTGAGCATAATTCAGATCTGTACGACATTCTCTTTGGTTTCTTCCTACTCCCAGAATTTCGTCATAGGTTTATCAAGTCGTTTTACATGTTAATGACATATTTGAAAACATCAGTTATGGCGCTTATGATTGTGTAGTTCCAGTAGCAGATCCAGACCTTCGGGCCTCAGTTTGGCCTAAAAACAAGGGGGACCTGGCCCCTCCCCTGGATCTGCCACTGAGTCGGCCATTAACTTTGGTTTTGAACAAAGGGTCAACGAGATTTCAAAGGAAACCACATATTAAGAAATGCTTTAAATGTTTTAGGTCGCTTTCCCAAAGAATGCCAGTCCTGCCGCTATCAAAGAGGGATTGACGTCACTTCTGGAAAGAACAACTCTTGACGATCACCCAGGTAGTTCAACTCATGGCCAGTCCGACACCGCTGACCAAGGCATGATGAGGGCTGAAAGCTTAAAGGACGCGGTGGTCTGGGATGCAGAAATCGATGTTCGCAGTCAACATCCATGTTTGAAAACTTACGGAGTGATGGTAATTAACAATACTTTATATCCAAATCATGAATGTCGCACCACTTCTATGATCGGATGCTGTCCGAAACCGCCGGTACTTAACTTATGTGAACCACAGAAATACTATGTTGCTGGCTATGTCTTGGTGAGTGGCTGCACTTGCAAGAGTGGAGGTGATTCGGAATGCCCCCAAAGTTGATTATGATAAACTGTTGAATACCACTAACTGGTGCTTTCAGTAAAAAGGAGGGTGGCAACGCCCTTTGAATTCATTTGACCCGTTTTTCAGGTCCATTAATTATGAAGGACAAAAAGTAGATTACATATTGATTGTAATTGTAAAGTAAGAAGGATTGAGTTTAAATAAAGCTTGTTTCTCCTTTGGTGTTTGCAGTTGTTGAAATTTGTTATTTGACTTTTTCTAATGATTGCAGAAAATAAATTTTAAAACACCTAAATTCACATACTTAATAACACTTCATTGGCATGTATACTCAGTTGCTTCCGTTCTCAATAGATGGGGAAAGAGATATTTGCTCTTAGGCATTACGTGTACAAAGAAATGATGATGATGATGATGATAACGTCACAGAGTAGTTTACAAAACTACCTTCTACTACCCCCTGAATTATGTTCGAATCACTCAACAACCGCCCGGAGCCACTTGCTTGCTATGGTATGTGTAATTTATAGATTTAGCCAAGGCCAAAAGCGCAGCCCTCGAGGGATCTTTTAAGAAATGTCTTTCTCAAATAACTCAACCTTTGCCGTAAGTAGTAAGCAAACTGAATTCCACTTATAAACCTGGGATCGCGATCAATTGAAACCAAAAACTTATCAGCAGATACATTTAAAAAATTCTTCACCTCAATGAGTTGTATACCTGAGTCCGCGACACAGTCATGTGACACTGGTCAGCGGATAGGCTCTTTGACAGCTATTAACTGACCACAACATGGATGTCAAATACCACTTTTAAATGCTTGGACCCCTAGCTGGTAAGTGTGCCATTTCACATCCGCTAAAATGAATGGGTGTACGTACGTGCGCCGTACGGACGATTTTGTCAGAACTAAAATTTCTTGGATGCATAGATAACCAAATTTTCTTACCCATGGTGCTCCGCTGCGCGCCCTTCGCGGTCGAGAGAGCTGCGCTATGATTGTAGTGACATTATCATGACACTGTTGGCTAATTTGCTGCATTCTCGAATGATATCTATACAGTCTGCTGACAGACCGCATAAAATCGGAATAAAAAGGGGGATATAAATGTTATTTTAATGTTGGCCTTGAGTACATTTGATTTCAGCGCTTGATATTGAGCAGCTGTAGTAAGCCCACCCGACTCTTTCTAGTCCCTTATCTACTATGTCTTATGACTTTGTTTTGTAATTATACAGTAAATGCTCATTTTTGATGTACAACTATACCTTTTGACCGAATTACACTTCATATTTTCCTAACCATTTGGAAAGAAGAGGAAGCAAGGAAACCAAAAGAACAGTATGTAAAGAGGAAAGCTACTGCTACCTCAAGACTTCGTTTTCCCTTTTTTACAGTTCCAACCTGCTGCCGTTTAAACGAAGGTCACTTTAAATTATCAATGGAAAGAATGGCCGTCGCAGAAGGGAAGTCCGTCAGTATTTTTCCCTCAAGTAGCTACTTCAAATAAAATATAGTATGCGTGGTTGGCGTTTCAAGGGCAAAGGAAACGTGGGCCGAATAAAAGCGCGTGAGGAAGAGAGAAGGAGGAGGATGTTTCATTAACGTCGGCAGCGGCCAAACCGAGCCATACACCTTTTCCCACTTGTGACGTCGTCAAGTTTAAAGACGAAGAAAAGTTTAGCCCTTAACGAGGACCAAAGAAAGACATCTTTTGAGTCATACCTAAATGAGAGTGACTTGGTCAAAACGGGCAACAGATACCCACCAAAAGTCCTGTGAATTTGATTTGAAAATTCGAGCGAAAATCTTGTTCGAGGAGAGGAAGCGAATGCGCATGCCCGAACATTTTCAAACTGGACCTAGAAAGCACTGACAGTTTTATCTTGTAAACAGTGTTTTCCGTGCTTCTCCTTTTTTTTGGTAGTTTGTGACCAAAAAATGGCTCGAATAGCTTCAAGCCGTCTTTTTCGGTGACACGTTCAGGCGGAAATGGGTTAATATCTTAGAAAAAATAAAGGATGGTTTTGTAAGGGACTATAATTATTCATTAAGGACTTGTGGTATTGGTACCCTTTAGTTAAGAAGGAATCCATCACGAAATTGAGTAATTTTAATTTCCATTGGACAAAATCCTTGTACCAGAATAATTTAAAGCATATTGCATTCTTTTGTACACTTTTCAAGGGCTAAATAAGATATAATTAGTTATAATCTCTGTAATAATTTAACAATTAATTTTGCTTTACTCTGTTAATGTCTATTGTTAAAGTGTTTTTTTTGTTCTGTAGTATTGTAAATGTAATTATTTAATGTAATTATCAATAAATATTCTGAAAAGAAAAAAGAAAAAAGCATATACGCCGCTGGTTATACGTAATGACACCAAAGAAAATTTTTCATACGAGCCTGAGAAAACAAATTTCAAAAGCTATAAATTTAGCCAAGATGAAATCTTACCCATGATTTTAACTGTGTTTTCACAATTCCTGTGAAATATAAAATCAATTTTCAAGGGCCCCCATAAGAAATTGTCTTTGGTGTTATTACAGAAAACTAATTATATTTATAGGCCTTGATAAGAGTAAAAAAGAATGCGATATAACTATAAAGATCAAAATAACTCAATATCCTGATGGATTCCGTCTCAATCTCCTCCTGTTACTGTATTTAATATTCACTTCCGTATAGAAATGAACGCTTCATACATAAAGGATTAAAGAACAGTACCGACACCGAGTAAAGTCCTCTTGAAGTTGTTAAAAGCATTGTGAGTATTACGGAAACCTGAGATTAATGTTGATGTTTCAATTCTCAGAATTGTCTCGACCAACTGTTCTAATGTTTTCTGCGCTTCTTGAAGAGCTTTAATAGGGTTGATACTTGAGATGAATGCTTCCAAAGGATAATGACTTTGACGATTCAATAGATAGGACCTACTGGTTAATCCAAGGGGAGGATCCAGGAATAGTTCTTTGCTAATTAACATCTTTTTCAACGAAAGAACCTATTAGAATGGAGTAAATACGTGTAACGACGCAGGAGAAGGGAAGAAATATGATTAGCCGTGTTCACGGATAAATTATTTCAACCATGTGCACATGTCGTGGGCCTCCAACTAAAAAATCCGCCCCAAGTTCATTGTGTACGAACTACTCCCAGGCACTTCAAATTACGTGTGACATGGCTATTTCTTTCTATTAATAACATTGCCCATCGTTTCAGTGAAATCGTCCTGTCTTTTTATCAGAGTTCTGATGTTGAGAATACATTTTCCGTTTCTTGCTCCATCTCAAAGTGAAAGTGAAATAATTTGTCCTGGAGATAAAAGGTTGTATTACTTTTCTTCTTAGTTTAGAGATAAATCACAAATTAAACTCGTAGCCATAATCGTTCAGATCGTCCCTTGCGCTCTTTTCCCCTCAAAAAGCGTTCACACGAACGACACGATCATATTAAAGCACCTGTGATGTGACGTAGGAAGGTCTGCTTGATCACAATTGCGTGGATTGCCGAACGGATGTGTTTTTTACTCTCTTCAGAGCACGAGAGACTAAGAAGCAGGGAACGTAATGCCGGTTAGGGTGAGCGTCCTTTTGAGAAGTGCCAAAGTGTAGCTGAGCCGCAATGAGTAAAAGATTCAAGCTGGGTTCTAAAATCAGCGATTGCTCTTGAATTGGTGGTCTATTTCTTATTTCCCAATGGTGTTCCTCTATTATCATCATTAACCATTAACTATGATTGCGATCATCTCGTAAACGAGAGGTAATTTCTTGCTTTTTCTATGGAATTGTACCCAATAACACTTTAAGTTGCCAAGTTCTTCTAACAGAATAAAAAGCTGGGGACGTTGAACCAGTAACCTTGACACTCAAAGAGAACCCTTCAAGTTAAGCTTTCTGATCCCCCTTTTCTAAGAGGCTACTTGAACAAAAAAATGCCGCCGAACTTTCATTCCACAATGACCATTCTCCCTGCAGTAGCGTAGCGTATAAAAGTAATTTTGATAGATCAAAAATACTAAGTCGTCTTGTCTCAAGAAGACATAGAGAAGATGAAGTTCAGAGGAGTCGTCTTGTATCTGACTTTCCTGGTGAGTGTAACAACTGTCAGTAATAACTTCTCTTTTCCAAGACTTTCACTTCCGTGTACAAATACGTAGTTATGAAATACGGTCTAACATTTGAAGCAGTGGCTAAATCGTTTGGTGTGACCATTCAAACGCCATTTTTCCTCTTCCTTACTGTTGCATGTTTCTTTAAGCACGATTCATGCATTAGTTTGAGGTTTAAACGTATGTTTTAGCGGCCATAAGTTCTAACTGCAGACACTGTTTAATACTTCTCCTTCTGCAGAAGGAACCGTATTTCTACATACCTTTTTCCTACTTTTGTTTATATTAAATTGTAGATCAGGATTTCAATAAAATAAGTTTGAGCGAAGTAAATGTAATGATAAAAGGAAGAAGGAAAGAACTCTCTTTTAGCCAAAATTAAAGAGCTCCATAGAAAAGGAAGTTCTCAAAATTAAATTCCGTTGACTAACAAGCGAAAAGTAATTTTTAATAATGAATTAACGACCTTAATGGTAGGCCATACATATTGATGTGGAAAATACGTTGCTTTTTTTTTTTTAAATCCCTGAGCATAATTCAGATCTGTACGACATTCTCTTTGGTTTCTTCCTACTCCCAGAATTTCGTCTTAGGTTTATCAAGTCGTTTTACATGTTAATGACATATTTGAAAACATCAGTTATGGCGCTTATGATTGTGTAGTTCCAGCAGCAGATCCAGACCTTCGGGCCTCAGTTTGGCCTAAAAACAAGGGGGACCTGGATCTGCCACTGAGTCGGCCATTAACTTTGGTTTTGAACAAAGGGTCAACGAGATTTCAAAGGAAACCACATATTAAGAAATGCTTTAAATGTTTTAGGTCAAAGAATGCCAGTCCTGCCCCTATCAAAGAGGGATTGACGTCACTTCTGGAAAGAACAACTCTTGACGATCACCCAGGTAGTTCAACTCATGGCCAGT